ATATATATATATATATATATATATATATATATATATACATATTTAAAAAAATTTATACAATATATATAATTCTATACAATACATAAATATATCTATATATACAGTATATACATATATTTAGGAAAGAAAAATAAACATATATATATATATATATATCGATGAAAGTATCGATCTAAATAAAGGCTTGAGAAACAGCAAAAGAATCTCCACTAAACGGCCTTAGAACAATAAGTACGCTTCTTTTCCCAATTCTCCAATTTCCTTGGTAATACCACATGTGCAGTATTCTCATTCTCACAGTTAACAATTAATTTTTTAAACTTTGCCAGAGAAATTGAAAGTTTAAACTTATTAGTAACCTCGATGTTACTGATATCCGAGAAACAACGAATTCTCAATCTCTCAATCAATCTGGCTTTTCAAAAAAGTTACAGACATTTTTCGCTACTTTTTAACCTTTATTTTCAGGATCTAAAAATAGTAATGATTTTCTCTAGCTTAAAATCTTAAATGCCAAAGGGTACATAAATCAGACTTCGATCTTTTCGGTGAAGTGATAAGACTTCGACTGGTGGTTTTCCGTAAAATCATAAGCGTTTTTTTCTGTCTTCCGTTCTCTTGGTTCCTGGATCTCTCAACGATTCTGCTCTAATATCCATTAAATTCAGTAGGCGACTTTACCCTATTGGCTCTGAATTTCTAAGTGACAGACAACATCAGTGAAAGCAAGCGAATTGTAATTTGGAGCTTACCAAAAGTAGAAAATATATTAAACTGTGCATTTCTAGGCTGGCAAATATATAACTTCTTCATGATCATTTAATAACTTTTGAGGAAGGGGGAGGAGGAAAGCTGAAACATGGTTTAGTAGCTGTCTGCAACAATACTAAAATAAAAACAAATACTAAAACAAAAACAAAAAATAGAGGTTCTTAACTTACAAATTTTAGCAAAATGATAAGCAGACTTTCTTGTTTCTATCTGCCAAATAAGCGTTGTATCTGTAGCGATTTTTCATGTGCTTTCAATCTTACCTAAGCAAATTGGTAACCACAAAGTTTTTATGAAGTTACACTAACTTGAGGTACTCAAAACAATTCAAGACAAAAAATTTATTGGGAGAGCTCGACACGCTTTACTAACTTTCATGCTTATTTTCAATACCATATTGATGAGCAAGATTCAGCGACTAAAACGAGTAACCAGAACCAGTAAGACTAATTCTCTCTTCCTTACTCTTGTACAACATATAATTTTCAAATAGGAAATGAAATCTAGCCACTGCAGAGCTGGGATGACGACGACAAGAGGTACGTATGAGAAGCAAGATTGGATACAATATCGTAAGGTCTAGGCTTTGGAAAATATAATACGATGTGTAAAAAAGTAAAGCTCGTAAGTTATACAAGCAAGTACATACCGACGAACTTGAACGGGTATAATTTTCCGATGACTGCCTGAAGCCACACTGCTGAGAGTTAATTTGAACAGATTCCGTGATATCTTGAGAAGTACCATGTGAACTGTCAGTGTTATTCAGCCATTCTAATGTCGAGAAGAAACAATCCTGAGAATGAGACGGAGTGGTTTGACTGGCCAACTTCACTCCTTCACCTGCCACCTTATGTTGTTCCATGACGTATTCCTGTGAGGGAAGTGGTCTTTTCGACTGATTTTGTTGACTTAACAACTTGTGGCCGCGAAGACCAAGATGTCGCACAATTGCATCTGAAAACGAAAAGTAGAGAAAGAAAGGAAATAAAAACAAACCTGCAAAACATTCAAAGTTGCAAAATCAAGCAAACAAATAAATAATTCAGAAACTTTAAATTTCAAATAGACAAAAACAAACCAAATTCGTCAGGTTCAGATACCAATAACATTTTTGATATGACTTTTGGCTCATAAGTAAGAATTGCTGGTGGGTCTCGTGCACTAAATCCTCTATCGTGTTCATCAATTTTCAACTGCAAACCAACCCTTAAAACAAAAAAGTTAAGGGAGCAAGAGACACATAATTGCTACGGAAGCCTGCAGCTCTATATTCTCGAGTACCTTTTCTTAAGTTCAAAGTTTGGCTTCATAAAAATTGTCATAAGTCGATTTGTTCAACGACAAAAGTTTTCAGTTCTATTCATACAATTTTTTAAAATGAAAAGTTTTGGTCATGAAAACATTAAAATAGTAGATGTGTAATTTATCACTTCCCCAAAAAATTATTCACTTCTCGTCATTTTCTCTGAATTTTCTGTTTCGAATATGTCATTAGCTAGTCTTTTTAGGAGATAAAGAATCACAGCATGTTTTTCCAAAAAAAGGTATAATCAAATGGGGATCGTAATTTCTATCGATATATAATTTATCCAACTGCACTATAAAAAAAAATCTATAAATGAGGGTTTCCCAAATTAATTTTAAAAAAATATTCTGCTTCCCGAAATATTTCTGCCATTATGAATGAAGTCATCGTATTTGCGACTGTCTATCAAATGAATGCTCAACAGACTTACCTCTAGAAGTTTAAAACATCGCATATGACTTTATCAAAGGTAGTATCCAAAAAACATTAGTTTAGCGAATTTCAGAAAAAGCTTAGTTTCTTTTTTTTATTTTATGCATTCTTTACGCTTACTAGATGCAAAGTTTTTCTTCTGTATTTACTAAGTAAGATATACCATAAATCCGAAGCACCACAATGTAATGATTTCTGCAGCATTTCAGAAACTTCCAATCTGTCAGCTCGAAATACATAAATTAATTTTAGAAAAGAGATTACTTTTTTCTTCTCATTCCTACAGGCAGTTAGAATAAGTGAAGTGCAGCGCCTTTTCCAACAGGTTCTGTTTATCTTACCTACATAAAATGACCCTGGATTTCACAGCAATATAATTGAGTTTAGGGAGAAAAGGACTGCATGAAACAGTTACTGATATTTAGAGGAAAGGAGATGTATCGAAAATATCCCTAAGACTGACAAATGTGTTTTATGTCCCGTAATGTTTCATGTTAGATATGAAAGAGCAGAAGAGGAGTTTTGCTAGCGATGGATATATTAAAAAAGCTCTCAAAAAGGAATAAGATTCCGAAATTAAAAAAGCTCTCAAAAAGGAGTAAGATTCCGAAATGCTTTACCTCAGCGACACTCCAAATCTTGAATCATCAGATTGACGATCAAGATCACCAAGACTGAATTCTAACATGTGGGTATTTGGATCAATAAAATTAGCATGAAAGGTCAATGAAAACATCAAATGCTGCTGCATACGATTCTGCATCTTCATCAATCGTGCATGATAAACAACTACCTAGAAATTGAATATAAAACGCAAAAAGGTCTGAAATGAACTCCAAATTCGAAAGCTAGTTCTGTTCGCTGTAGCAAATGCTTCTCAGAAAAGCCAAAAATGCTGAATTTACTCTGCAAATTAATCCATGAATTTGCAGTAAATCGTTTTGTTAAAATTTTTTTCGTTCTTATAAATCTGTTTTTTTGAAAAGTAAATTTACATTATCTCACTCAACAAAAAAAACCAAAAAGAAGCTGTTAGAAATTATTTCAATCGTAGCAAGTACTTTAAGATAACTGACCTGAACATCATCACCAACTGGAATATCTCCCAATGGCAGATCTACTAAAAATGAATCCGGAACTTCGAAAGACCTGGAAAATTCAGTTCAAACCTAAAAATAGTGAACTGGAAAAACAGGGAAATGGAGAATTCCTTTAATTCTCGATTTATCTATTTCATTCGTCGATAGTTCCTATGATTAGCAATTTAAAAAACGACAGACTGATATATCAATAAACTGAATACAAAAATATCTGGATTTTTAATGCACATCGAAAAACAAAAAACCTAATAAAAGAATTAAGAGTGGAAGGCAATAAGTTCTTCATTTGTGTCCTTATAAAAAGCAGAGAATCAAGTAGAAAAATATAATGGACATCCCTAATCATTACCTAATCGAAGAGGACCTTGATCTTTCGAAGAGGACTCAAAATGTGACCATTTTTATTCCATATACTAATAAAACTATAGGTTGAATTATCTAATCAAATCATGGTTAGTTTACAAAAATCACGGTAGGTTTCGTGAATGAAGAAGGACTTTGTCCCAAATGGTACAAATATGGGTAAATCGTTCCAGTCTGCGCAGTGGATTTTTTCAGGTGGGGCACAATGAACGAAACTAGTCTCGTCCTTTACTCCTATAGTCCATCCACTAGGGCCTAGCGAGTTAGGACAGTGTTAGAGAAGTCCTCAGGATATAGGTTACTTAGAGCTCCTTCTCTGAAATGGATGGCCTTACAGAGCTAAGCGCGTTAAATCTGCCCGGGTTTAGAATTAAAGTTGTCCTCTTAGGATGGCTGCCGGAAGATTAGCGAGTCCATCCTACTCGTGGATATACTTTGTCTGAATCTTCAACTGAGATCTGCCAGGCATAGGAGACCCTACGGGAAGTATAAGCCACAGCTAGCATAAACATGCCACTGATAAGTATCAATGAATCCATGTGAATAAGCATGGTTCGAAAGTCCGCGGGTATTTCCTTTTTTCCAAAATAATTTCTCCAAAAAGAACATGTCACGAAAAAAAATTTTGATACATGAAGGAAAATTAAGGACGGAAAAAAGATCGAAATTTGACAGAGAAGGCATCAATGGCAGATATAAATTCCTTAAACCATTACTTCAATTCTTCATAGTTTTTGTAGGTAGACCATACTTTCGTACCACCAGCGTAAACATCAGCAAATGGTCGACAACCGCTTCGAATTCGATTAAACAGTGGCACCGGTGAGATCAGTAATGACTGAAGTACTACTCGCCTATTGTGAACCACCTACAAATATTTCTTCTAAGAACTTTTTTTGCTTTGCTGAAATTTAACGTCAAATTGTTTAAAACAATATACAGGAGATGATACTGAAAAAAATCGCTCAAATATCTAACATTCAAACTTTACTTAAATATATGGACTTCAAAAGCCTCCAGACCTTCAACTCCATTTCAAGTAAAGAGCATTACAATTAAATTCAGAAAGACTTACTGCACATAAATCAGACGAGTCCATAGAAACAACTGTTTTTATTATATCAAGCTGACGATGGTAAGATGGTGGAAGATTTGGTGGTTGTCTTTTGGAACAGATTAATTCTAGTGCTGCCAGTGGCCTTGGAACAAGTCGGGCGTATAATAATAGAGTCGCTGCTACCAGTAAGCATTGAACTAAAGAAATATTTCTAGCCAGTATAAGTAAAATGCGTACATGTGAACGTGTTTTACTACCGAATTCAGTACTCACAAGAAATATTTACCTTCAGGACCAGTAATCAGAATGAAATTTGTTTCTTTCTGCTTCAAGAATAACACCATATTCCTGCACAGATTCAATAAAAAGTTCACCGTAGGTGTTAAACCACTTCCAGTAGCTGGCAAAGGAGTTTCTACTAGACGACCGTAATCACACCGTAAATGCCTAAATTTCAAGTCGCGCAATATTATAAGTCATGAAATTCTTTTAAGAGGCCAAACATTTAAAAAAACATCGAATCACTTATCTAGAGAAAAGATATCATTTGCATTCATAGGCAATTAGAGAGGTTATACACATCTGTATTATTACGAAATTCTAAATTTATAAATTTGAAAACTTCAAAATAGCAATCAAAAGTTTTATAAACATCATTAAAGAACAGTTATAAGCTCAAGTCATGAGCAAAAACACAGAAAATATAAACTGCAAGCATACGACCATAATACCACTATAAAAACCAGTACAATATACTTCCTCATTACCACCTAGATCTACATTTCTCTGCTCAATTAGGCCTTTCAAAAGAGAAAACCCACCGATTTGATAAATTATAAATTGCAAACTGTCCTCGAGCCTGGTCCAAAATATGAGCCCGCATTGTTTCCTCAGCTTGTGCAACTAATGTTTCAGGTATGCAATCGGCAAATGGCGCTATTGCAAGACGCGATGTAACAAATGTTACATCTGGACCTCGACTACCATAAGTCGACTGAAATTTTCGAATTAAAGCTATAATCGATTGCCAAAAAACGTGAAAGAGTTTTAATTTCCCGCTTCGAAAAGAATGAAAGTTTTAAAAAAACCATCATATTTACTCCAAAACAAACTAGATAAAACGAAACAAAAATGAAGTTTTTCTTCCACATAATTTTTGAGGATTTTATAGTTAAATTTCTCAAATAGACATGGGAAACGGTTAAACATACTTGTACTGTTTGAGCAACGGCGGCCGTTTTGTCTTTGATATTTTTGAACCAGGAGATGCTCTGCCCCTTAATAGCACCAAGAACAGCGGAAGCTTGTTGCGCTGTCTGCTCCTTTAGTTTATCAGCATTAATCTTTACATGATAAGATTAACGAATCATTTGAGAATCAGCTATGGCTAATAATTTTACATTAAGGGTTGAACGATAATATGGATGTCATTTTAAATTACTACTAGTCTTTCTGCGTGTCTATGCAACATACGTAATCAATTTTTCGCGGCGTTGAAGGTGACTGCTTTGATATATTTGACTTTGATGATCTTCCACGTTCATTTGCAGATGATTCGGCTTGTAACTGATCTGGACAACAAGTGAACAAGTGAATCTTGACTTCAGAAACAATAATTTGAGCTTATAAATGTCATTTGCCTTATTGATGAGTTTCTACATACTGGTTAGAACTTGCAAGTATATAAATATTAAAAATGTTATTTTTATAGAATCCTGAAAAAAATTTTTAAAGACTCTAAGAAACAGACCAAACAGAATGTGATGAGAAATGAAGAGTCAAAGAACTGAACAAAACTAAATAAATCCATACACTGAAACGTAATAAATTCCTACGTTTGACTAATAAAGATGAACTCCAATGTGCAAACCCTTACTTTTTACTGCGAAGAACGACCACTTCATTATATTATTAAAATGTTTAAAACTAAACGGTTTCCAACACGCTCAAATATTAATTGTCGTTCTTAATTTTTCTTAAATGCCAAATACGATATATCTACTTTAAAACCGTACATTTTAAGCTCATTCATTTTAAGCAAACTACTTTACAACATCCACTCCCTAACAGAGTGTTAACTGAAATGTTTAAGAAATCTTTGAAAGCAACAACATGCACAGACGACAAATTTTGATAATACCAATTCGTCACCTCTTTTTTACTAATAGTTCATCGGATGATTCCTTGAAGACGAAACTAATTTGTTACAAAAGTAAGAAAAAATAGATACTTGGAGAAAAGAATGCTGCTAACTCAGGAAGTTCCAGGTTTTCAACAGGTTTCGAAAGATCTACACTTAATGCCGCAGCAAGCGCTTCAACGCGTTCACACAAATCCACCATGTTTGGACGCTCTCGTGGATCTACTCGCAATGTTGTTTCTAAAAAAGAAATGAAAAATTAAGAGAAAACACACGATGGTCATATAAAAGGATCCCTTGAGTTAATCTTGAAATGGCATGTGATTTCAACTAGAAGTATTCAAGGAGGTGCAAAACTGAAACTACGGTACTGAAAGTATAGCTGCAAAAGTTTACGATGAACCGATTTCAGGTTAGCCATATCCCGTAAATTTGAGCAAGAGTCGAAAGTTTAAGTTTGAGTTTCAAGAAAAAGGCTTGGTAAAATATTAAAATGAAAAATGCCATTGAAGCAATTCCAGGCTTACAATCAAATTAAATAAACTGAAAATTTCGAAGTTCATACATTCTTTTAGATACCGAAAAGTGCATGTGCTTTCAATAAAAATATAAAGAAAATTTCGAAGTTAACGAAAAATGAAACCAACGAATGAGTGGATTCAACGCGGCATATTCAGTTTCGACATCGGGAAGTGAATATTTCGCATTAATGATACGAAGTTTGGCACTGTCCTCAAACGGATGCTTTCTGTAGCAAAGATAATACAGCACACATCCAAGAGCCTAAAATACAACTGCTTAGAGCAAGGAAAAAAATAAAAATAAAATTCAGACGACAGAGAGAACCTCATTTTTTCCCACTACTCTATAAAAATCGACATATGATGCTTGCTTTAAAAAAGCATAATTTTAAAATGTTGAACGATTGGTTAAATCAACGATTCTCTTCACAAATAAAAAAAATCTTGGAACCAAATGTAAGACCATTATGTAAGTTCACTTACCCAAACATCTTGGGCTGGACCCACTGGGAAATTCGAATACATATCCAGTGATTCCGGTGCTCTGTACATTGGAGTCGTGTGCCGCGCTAACTAAATGTTCCAAACTTTGAAAATTCCAAAGATTTTCGAAGTTGAAAGTTCTCAAAAACTAAATATGAAAAGCGGAAAAAAAGGCGAAAAATATTGAGGAGATTAGACATAATTATACAATTTAATAAAAACTTGAAAATACAACCTCCTCTTCCAGCTGTGCCCGTTGTAAAGCGGACCACGTTTCGTCTGGTGTTACGATTTCTGTTGTTGCACTTCCAAAGTCGCATAGTTTCACATATCCATGTGCATCAAAAAGCAAATTTTCAATCTGAACTGCATACTTAATATTTCTTATAACACATTATATTCTGAATAAACATAAGCGACTTCGACCACTTCAATTTTTCAAAAAAATCGACTATTTATAGCTTTAAATACTTTTGTTCTTGCAAATAGACTTTTTTTTCGCAAATAAAAATAACCAACCATCCCCTTCCTAACAATAAGACAGAAAAAATGATAAAGCATAATCTACGTTGTTTCATTATTATTCATTTATTAAAAAAAATCATTTTGTCAAATTTGAGAAAAACCAAGAAATGTAAGATGACTTTTGAAATGCACCATAACAAAAACATCTGCAAATATACCTTCACATCTCTATGCGTTATGGATGGCTTTCTTGCATGCATTTGTTTAATGGCGTTGCAGGCTGCATAAAAAATCTTCGTTACCTGTCCAATCGACAATGGACCCTTTTGAATGAGCTCGATTACGCTTCCTAGAACGGTTAATAGTTTATTTAAATTTTGTAATTAAGTTCGACTTGATTAATATTCGGCAAAACTGAGATCACTTACAAATCAACTTTTATATTTTCCTTTTTCCCTTATTTTTTCTCGGAACAAAAAAAAAAAAAAAAAAAAGTTGATAATGATCTGTCTTTCTTTTCATCCATTCAAACATTTATAATCGTAAAAAAAAGAAAAGAAAAAAAATAAAAGAACTGTAAAGATCCTGACCTTTTGTTGAAAAGGCGCAACTTGAAATATTAAGCTTCGTAATTTGGAAAACAGGGATTGAGCAAAAACGAAGCAAACAAAGATTTACCTGGACAAAGTTCAGTCAAAAGAAGAAATTCGGCTCGGCCATGTCCACTTTCTTGTGGACTTAGTTGAGCTGCCTGCACAAAGTGTAAAATGGATTGAAGACCAGTTAACTGAAATCATTACTTGAACGAGATATCGAAATTAGAGATTGCGAGTAAGTATATCACCTGAATGTATGCGAAATTTCCACTAAATCTGTAAGACTTACTATAGAAGCCTGTTTGCTTATCTGTGACTCCTACGTCAACAGCCTTCCCTTTTTGTTTATGTGAAAACAGTTTCTAAAGATGTAATGTATGTAATGAATTTAAAAACACAACTGAGCTTCAAAAGTAGTCAACTGGTCGTACAGAAATAATGTAATCTAATTTGTATAATATAATTTTAAAAGATATTACTTCTCGCAAAAAACGAATTTCTTTAAGCACTGCTTTAGCAGCTTCACAATCTGCGGCTAGCTGTCGCTTTAGAGCAAACCAATTACCTTGCGTGTCTTGAGCCGAAAACACTAATGCATAACCGCCTAAAATAAATAAGAAGCTTAACGCATAAATAATCGAAGAAGATGCCAGAAGAATTCCTTTGGTGAGGATAGCATCATCCATATGACGAGGCCCAAACATTCAGTTCTGCATAAAAAGATCCAAACTACCCATCGACTTCTCGAAAATTTATGGCGGTTTACAATACTTTTACTCTATGAACTGCAAAGTCTTTCCAGAACTTTAAATGTCACCATCCTAAACCCCGATCAGGTGAGTTTAGATAAACTGCAATCTGAAACAACAAGTAATATGACTTGTTGTCACGACCAACGTATGAAGTCAAGTAAAAAAACCTTCAGCGATTAGAGAACGGATTTTGAGTCTCAATCCATCAATCTCAACATTTGTACCCACAAGGGGATGATCCAATTTACCAATAACATTCACCGGTGCCGTTTGCGACAAATAACTGAACGCTGACCGGAACAACTCGGCCATTCTGAAAATAATCACTAATCCTTCCGGTACTTGTCTCCATAGAATAATGTTAGATAAGGGAAAGCAAAATTAAAATTAAATAAGTAGAAAAGTATCGAAAGGGACCTATCCTTCCCACCTTCAAAATTATCCCGAGATTTCCAGCCTTTCCATGGAACAATGCTCCCTCTAGCATCATACACCAACCCATCCCATACTAATCAGCCCAACCGAGCAAAGCACACTATCTATACTAGCTATTGGAACCGGGACCCGTCCAGGTTTTCTCAGTTTATGTCCCGTGTAATACTTCAGGAAGGTTATGATTTGTGGTTGTAGCCAGGATGACTCATGTTGTGATTATCATTCAGGTTGTAATTATGACAATGCGACAGTGATAAGGCAGTTGCTGCAGAGAATAGTTTGCTGCACTTGATAACTTCATCCCTTCTTATCCTATATCGTCTCTATGACGTCCTCCTCGGGTTATATTATCACTCTTTACTCTGACTAGAGACTTTTCTTATCTTTTTCACGCTGATGCATTCTTTCAGAAACTCTGCCATCCTCTGGCATCTCTCGAATTCCAGTTATGTTTATGTATGAGATCCTATTTTAATCTCTTTTAAAAGCCGAACATGTGAGAGTTTTCCTTATCGAAAAAGATCGGGAACTACTTCTGGTATCTGTTAAATACTTCATTTTCCAGATGCTTCGAAGACAGCCAACCGAAATTGTACTGAAACTGGAGGAAGTTGATGAGATGATAATGGAAATCAAGAAGAAAGCTGCCGGTGTACATTTTTCAAATGCTTATATTCATATTCGTTTTTGGTAATGAATAATAGACGTTTTATATATTGCAGGAAGGTGAGGAAGTAGAAAAAGCCATGACGCAGACTGCTGTACGATCACGTATTGGTGCACCGTCACCTCGAATCCGAATGGCGCAAGCAACCGATACTCAACCTGCGGGGACTTCAGACGGTGCCTCTACTTTGCCTTAACCTCGTAATGCATTTTGCTTCCTTTTATTGCTGTTAACTTACTAAATACATGTTTGATAGACGAAAATATTTTTTTCTACGCAGTATTCTCTGGTGTTTGCCATTTCCGTATCAAATTAGATTATTCTACTGAGAGATGATTTGAATTTGTAACTCTTAGATGATGCCCGTTTGGATGATGTCTTTTTAAAGTAAAAAAAAAAAAACTGAAATTTAGGGAACGTTTAATAAATCGCTAAGTATCCAAGTCCTGTATTCAAGTATTTATGCTATCCAGTTTGTTTACAGGCTCAAGTTAGTTCTAGATGAAATCAAGTCCATGGAATTTCTTGGTGGAATATATATATATATATATATATATATATATATATATATATATATATATATATATATATAT